TGAAGATCCGAGTGACAGCATAACTACAGAGACTTAGGAAACCACTCAAACATACCTTATATGACAGTGCAAGTGAGATTGAAACTAAAACATCTGCATTTTGTGCTTATTTCCATAGCTGGCATAGCTTTCATAAGGCCAGTAATCCTGTGTTACCATGATAACATCTCCTGTTCCAACCAGAGGCACATTTCATTTGCCTTCTCAACTGCTTTTCCCCAATTTATTAGGAGTCACTTCAGTGACTGCTCACGTTCCCTCTGAGCAGGAACCTGGGTCAGACTGTTTGCAGTCCTGACACTAACAAGGTCCAATATCATTCCCCACCCCCCAAAAAAAAGATGCAAAAATAATCACTCAGGTAATATGACTAGAAAAAAACCCCATTATTTTGTAAGCCATAAGATGTGAGCACTGGTGATCTCTTTTGGGGCAGCAATCACTCCTGTGCTGTGGGCAAGTTCAGATTCACGATCACAAGCTCACACTGAGCACAGTTTCTGTTAGAAGGCTCATTTCCTTTGAGATATGATGAAGCAATAGCTCTATCTGGGATGTTCTACTGTGACAACAAGCCAAGTTCTGGATGTTCCTGCAAAAGAGTCTTTGCTTACAGTCATCAGAAGCTCAAGGCTGATAAGGTCACCACCTTGGAAGCAATGAGACAACCAACTCCGTGGTTCACATTGTTTGAACATTTATTTCAATTCAGTGTCAAAAATGTTTTACAAAAATACTGTCTGCACAGAACAGCTGTAAAAATCAGTTGAACATGCAAGGAAAGAGGAAAAAAGTGTGCAAATTTATAATGGAAGGATTTTAACCACACAATAATATTAAACTGAAGTCTTATATAAGGGATGCCTTTCACTTCATATAATCTCTAGTTACAACTTCAAGGAAAAATAAAACTGAACACACACTCTTCCATATATAAGTAGGTATTTATAATTACTGTAAATTAGTTCCTAAAGATGAGCATATTTTCTATTTCAAATTAAAATGTTCTCTTAGTAGCTGACATATTAGCATTCTGTGAAGCACAGGATGGCTAAAGAAAGGCAAATTCCACCCTCAGTTGCCCTCCCACGAGGAGAAGCAGCAACACTTGGTTGAGGGAATTCCTCTGGTGTCAAGAGTATCTATATACTTGAGACTGCATGTGTCAAGGACAAGATGGATTTCTTCTCCTAGGGCCAGATCCTGTAAAGCTGATTTGCCACCAATAAAATCACTGGAGGAAGACACTGGATAGAAATTAGGAGCTGGTAAAGACTCAGAGCCCAGCAGCCACACACTGATAGCTGTGTGAATGCTTGACCACAGCTTCAGAGCTTAGAACCAGCATCACTACAAGCAACAAGCTGAGAAAGCAGCACAGGCAGAACACCAGAGCCCCAAACCTTGAAGGAGGGAGTGAGTCTACACCAGCCTGACCAGCCATCAGCTCCACAGGGCCTGTGCTTGTGCAAATAGGCCAGCTACAAAGAGGGGCATTTTAATTTAAAGCTATGTCTTTCTGGCAAAGTGCTGATCTACAGGGAAGATGTGCAACATGTCTGTAAGGACAACCGCAGAAGACAAGGCTGGTTTGCTGTACCAAGCAGGAGATCAGTGTGAAAAGCACATCTGATTTGTTTGCTACACAATAGGATTTGAAATGTTCCTGCTCTAAATGAAATTCCAGCAACTAAAGGCCAAGGAATTTTCTGGGTAAGAAAAGCTGGTTTAGTACCTGTGTATGTTCTAGAAGGTGACAGCTTCACAAAAGTAATTTAAGTCAAACAAATGGGAATACAAACAGTTTAAAACCTGGGACAAGGAAAAATAATAGAAAATATATTCCCATATACAAAAAGTGGCAGGGTGCAATTAAATGTTTACATACAAAGCAATTTCTTCAGAGCAATACACATTTTCCTAATCACTTCACATAAAGGATCTAGAAACTCCCACAGTTAAAAAAAAAGCCAAAAAAACATAGGAGGTACACACGCTTTATGATCAAACTTCAGTATACCATAGTTAGTATAAAAGGTTTAAGGTATGTACAGCTGAAATCGTGCCTCTTGAAATAGCCATCACATCAAAAACTGGCCTCTTCTAGAAAGCTGAAACAAGAGACCTCTGGGATCTCTCCCTCCCTTGCATGGATCTATTTTTCCTCTTCACAGCACCATGTTCTGATACATCCTCTAAAGACAATGAGATTTCTCTGGATATGCTGGCAAGAGAAAACCCCAAAGAGGAAAAACTCTCCTTTCCTAGTATAAGAAATGATGCCTATCTAATGGAAATGCATCAACCAACTGGAACATGAAGTGTCATTTGAAAAAGAACATTCTATTTCCAAAATATAAGTTTGTTTTCTCCTTCACAACAGCTTTGCCATAATTGTCTTAAAATAAAGAGGACCTTTTGGCCTGAGAGTAGCCTTAAACTACCCTGCCCTGATATCACTGTCAGTTTGTTACTCTGCCCTCCTTGGCCAAGCTGCTGCCTTTGCATCGCTAAAATACTGATTGCTTTGTTTGTAAATGGTTAAGAGTAGGGTATTTGGATGCAACAGTATTTTGCTTTAAATACAAACCAAGAGTATTGAATTTACTGCAACATCTCCATGTACCAGCCACTCAAGAAACAATGGGCCCCAAAGAGACCAAGGCCATCTTCGACAATTGCTGCAGCATGAGGGTAATGACTGAGGCAGTAACTGAATAAGGCTTTTCTGTTTCTTTTTTAGTCTGTTTTGTTCTGTACAGTAGTTACTTGGTTTGTTGCTAGTTGGACACTGACAGCAAGACCCCACACAAGCAACAGACAAGTGTCTGTGTATAACAAATCATCTTCAGCACTTTGACCCTTACAGTGCTAAGAAATAAAATACACAGTAATTGAAGTAGGTTTTATAAATAGGAGCCTCAGTTGCACATTAAGTCTGCACATTGTCAGTATGACCCATGGTCTCTGGGTAGAAGAGGCCAGTGAAGGGTTGATAGAGGCAACGGCTGGAGCAAAGACATTCCCAAATCACAGCTCAACATTGAGAATTTCCATCTTCTTATGCAAGGAATGCAGTAGGCCAGATTCAAACCTGAGCTTAAAATTCACTCAGTGTCACAATCTCACAGAGCATAAGTGCTAAACACAGATGCAGAGTAGGCAGAATGCTGCAACATTTCATACCAAAATACTGTTTCTTCCCCATCACAACAGGTTGGCTCACCATGGGTGGCAGAGGCAAAACTACAAAACAAACCAACCCCAAATCAGAGCTGTAAACAAAATATGCCAAGGGGGGCAGGTCTTCTCACTGCTGGAAAAAGGAGCTACAGGACTCTCCAAACTCAGTGGCAATGCTTCACTCACTTCACTTGCAAGTTTCATTCCTTAATGTCCTCACTCAGGAAGCCAGATTTCAGCCTTGTCTACCCACTGCCATCAACACAGGAAAGAAAACAGAAACTGGCCTCCTTTACTCATAAACATCCCCAAACAAGCACAAGTGTATTTTTCCAAGGTAGCAGTTTTTAAATCACTTTCAGGTGACATGAGTATGATCAGGAGGCATATGCTTCCCACTAGCAGTCAAACTGATGGATAGGGCATCAACACCAAGATAAAGCTTGTTATCCTGCATGCGTTTTCTCCTCATCTCTGGAGAGTGACAAGCTCTGGGCCATGGCTAAGCGTGGTACAGCCTCACAGAACTCTCTAGAAGAGCAAAAACTTGGGATTTGCTGTTAGGTGGCTAGAGAAGGGCAGTTCTTAGCATTTTCCTTGTTTTCCTCCTCTCTTCCCACTGCTCCATCTAGAGGCAGTTTTTTTTCCCTTTTCACATCTCTTCCAAGAATATGCAAAGTGATTTAGTTTGCAAAAACACAAATGCTGTCATTTTAAAATACAAACAGCTGCAGAAAAGTGTTCAAAGTCAGTTATAAAAATGTAAAAAAAGGAACAGCATATTTAACAATAATTAACTCAAGTAGTTCTTCCTGAATTGTCCTGAGTACTCCTTTTCCTCAAAGTTTTTGTACATAGTCACACACAACCCACTAAATATTTACCCTTACAAGGTATCCTGCTTACATCATACACAGAGAAAGTGCTATACAGGAAATCTACTGGCAAACAGCAAAAACTTTCCACTGCAGGTTTTCAGATTGCTATGGATGAGCTGGATTCTTCAAGCTCCACTGTAGAGAAAAGTGAAGCATTGCATGCAACAGAGGAGACAGTGAGCCAGATCATAGCCACAGTGAAGTGGCCACTTACTCTGCAGGACTGAAAATTTAGCTCTGAGTTAGGGTCAGAAAATGCCATAAAGCAGCTCAGCACTGGAAGCAGAAGGGAGTAGGGTCCTTGGGTCTTGGAGAAAGAACCTAAGATATCAGTATGCTGGAAATCCCTTGCTTACCCAAGTCCTGACTGCTAAATACTAATCACTCCCTAAGCTCCAGGCTCTAAACTAAACATTTGCTGCCAGTCTTCCAGTAAATAAAAACCGCATCATTTAATGAGATTCAGTGGCCCAGTTTTCCCTATATTTTACCAGCTCTAAGATGACTGAATTCACTTGACAGCAGCGGGAATACAGAGCAGTGTATATGTTGGAAAACATGGGCTTAAAAACAGATTCTAACCTCACTTAGGATTTCAACTAGTGCAATAAATCTAATGAAGCAGATAAGAATTTACCTTGTGAGATTAAATCCAGTCCTTTGTTTCCCTATCATAGAACTTCCTCCCTTATAGATAATGCTCATCCTTTTGTCTTCTTTTCACGTTTGCATAGTCTTTCATAAAGCCAACAAATTAAGAGGATGGAGTAAAGTCTTAGGTATTCATATGGTGCCTATCATCTAGGCATTCAAGCACTGAGTAGAGCAAGAAAACTAATGTAAAGAGGTAAGCATTAATACAAGAAAAGATGCTTACTATCACAAACATTTCCCTTTAAATCATTGTACAAAATACAAAAGTTCACATTGTACACTGGATTTTTGTTTGAAAGGTACTCAATCTATTAGAGGTAGAAAGTGGTATGTTGCGATTCTGTCTCGCAAGCAGGCTAGAGTTCTATCCTAAGTATTTCAGAATGTGTCCTTTTAAAAGCACAAAAGTATTATTAAACTTGTCACAGGGGTATTTTTCATAAATATTTCTAAAATGTCATACTTATAAATATGTATGCTAAATAAAACCAGATGGAGGAACAGTTCAACAGTCCTAGCCTCATATTGCTTTCTCTCTATTAGAAACAAATCAAAAGAGTTCTCAAACGGATGCGGGGCAAATTCATTTTTAACTTCTAAAACCAAAAAATAAAGGGGTTTTTTTTGCCCTGTATCTTGTACTCTGATGATAAAAAAGGGACTCTGTACAACATGCTGTATTTATACACCAGTCCTATGGAAGTCTGTATTCCTTAAGTGCTGCATGTCAGTGAGCAACTTCACCTTTCATCTGAGATCCTCTTGTTCCTTGACTCAGGAGCTTCAAACAAACATTAATATTTACACTATTTACAAATAGACTGTCCAAGCTCTGTGACGAAGTGTCCTGTAGGAATTGCATAAGCTGCACTGACCCAAGTTCAGAACCTGAACAAGTTGATAAACTCTTGCGGTGAAAGAGAGGTGGAGCAAGTCTCTGGGTTGTTGGCTGTGCAGGGGTGATCAGTACCCTGGGAAAAGAGAAAACAATTCTATTTAGAGAGGCTGCAGAAAGGGTGACAAAGCATCAGCCAACTTAGCACTGCCCCTCTGCTAGGCATCCCATGTGCAAACAGGTAGAGCAGAGCCCAGAATAATAGACAGCTCAGAACTGGGCTTACTATCTTAGGGGGAAGTTAACGAAAAAAGAAGTAGCAAAGATCCAATTAATTCTTCTCCCCTCTTCTGAGGGAAGAGAGGCTAGAGCCTACCATCAGCTACTGGAGTTTAACTCCAGAGACATGGCTTGCATATCACCACAGTAGTCAGCAGATTTTTATCCTGAGCTGTTTTACAGCCATCAGCTTTCCTTCCAGCTAATCCCATTGTCAAGACCTCCACTTCCACATAATGGGTAAAGGAAGCTGCTGGCAGTGCTAAAATGATTTCTTGCAGGCAGCCCTAAAACATGCCCATCTTCCAACTGTCTGGCCCCAGTAGACACTACTCATGTTCAAGATGAAGGTGGGATCTCTGAAGCACAAAGAAGAAAGGGTCTTAACTGAGGGAGAATTAAGATGTAGGAAATCCCTAGTCTATACAGGCAAACTGCAACACCTTAAGCCAGCTGCAATGAGAGGAAGCACTGGATGCCCCATGGCTCCTGCCCCAATGAAGTCTGTCCCAGCAGCACCTCATACCTTCCAGGAAAGGATGTGGCAGTGCCTGCACAGTTGCAGTGTATCACCATACTGCTCCTTCCGTGGGTAACACCTTATGAGCTTGAAGTACATCTTTTTCCAATCCAGTTGTCCTTTATCAGATAAGATCAGTCGTTTGCGAATCTTAAAGAAAAGATACATACAATTATAGCAGCTCAAAAAAGCAGTTTATTCTGTTCAGCTCAAGATGTTCTCTCCTTTACATATCAACCTTGCCAGTGCCCTAACAGTTCCCCTGCAACACCGAGAAAGCTTTTACTTTGAGGACTTCTGAGCTTCTTTGAGCTAAGAAGCTCTTCCTTTCTACTTATAGCTGAAAAAGCTATATGTATTTTCCTGATGGGAACAGCCTCAATCAATACTATTATAAGGCCCTATTCCCACTTTGTCAGCTTCACCATAGGAAGCCTGAAACCCTGGGAGCTATTTCATACTACTTTGACCACTGTTTCTGGCTGGCAGCACAGCAAGTAGAGTTGCATTTAACAGTTGTAAGTGTTGAGGTATTTTTCTCTGAGTGTCAATGATTTATTGTATTAGCTTGGGAGACACTCATCTCTCTTTTAGGGTTCGTTAGTTGCAAAGGCTGGATGTGAATTTACTTAATAATAGAAATAACTCCTCCAGAGTCACTTCCAAAACCAGATTCAGAGTAATTAAATAAAGCCAAGTCAGCAGAGAAATCTGGCACATGGTTCCTGAAGTGGAGAGGTCTAGTATAAACACCCCAGACATTCACCCATAAACAAAGAGGGATTTTTGTTTGTTTGCTTTTAAGTTTAGATGATCCCAGATGATTACCAGTCTGCTAGAGATGTTTACACAGGTACAAAGTGGGCAGAAGCAGATCCACATACCATCTCATCACTCACAGAACAGCTCAGAGGGGATTTCTTGCTGTCAAGGGCAAGAGAGTACAGCTCATAGACCATACCCACAAAGATTCTCTGCAAGGGTGTCAGTCCCTAGGACATCAGGGTGATTGCTGGAGCTTGCCTGCACATTTTCCCTGCACACGTGGGGCAAGGAGCAACTGCAAGTCATGCAGTTGTTCCCACCTGGATTAGGATTGAAGTTCAGGGTATGATTAATTCCTCAAGCTTCTATTTCAGGAATCATTGCTGTGGTATGTAAACCCCTCTATATAAATCATCTTCACAGCCATTCTCATGCCAGCCTATATTATCAGCTTGCAGATCCAAGAGACAGCCAAGTAAGAGAACACGCAGGGCAGACTCTTTCTGGGGGGGAATAGACCAAGAACTGATGGAAGTTTGCACCTCTCCTCATACCTGTCTGTCTGTGAAGTGGTACTGGCACAGTTTCTTCCACAGCAGCCGGTCTTCACTGAGCACTTGGAGGTCAGGAGCCACCTGACCCAGGCTAACCAGGTCCCTCCCATCGCTCAGTCGCTGCATGATGTTCAGTTGTAAACACAAGGGCAGGTCGGTGAAAGTGGTTCCTTTAAAGGCAGGCTGGAAGAGAGAAACAAATTTGGTTCCCAGGAAGTTGAAAATGAAAGAAATCCTAGCTTACAGCACAGCTACTACTTGTTTAAAACTTCTTCACACAGAGAACAAAGCAGCAGTTCCCTCTTCTAAATAAAGGAGACATTTTTACATAGAAATGTTTGACCTTCTGTCCCAAAAGAGTTTGGGACAACCTCAAGGAAGAGGACATGTATCTGCAGTACAATAATTAGAGTTGCAGTCCAAGCCTCCTCCTCTCCTTTTTGTCCACCCCACTGCCATACTCATGAGACTCTGCTCCCTGAAGTATCACCATCAGCCTTCACTAAGCAGGACATTGGCTGTATCATGGTATCAGCTATTGCCCATCCAGTTCTCTCCACCATGAGGCAGATGGGCATTACTTCTCAAGTTCAGCTCTGGTTAAACACACTGCTGGGAATCTCATGCTCTTCTGACATGTGTTTTAACTTATGTCATCACAGGATCTTGCTGCAACCACAGCAATGTGGCAAGTACCCACAGCATGGGTTCCCAGGTCACTGCTGGCAGGGCTAGCTTTTCCTCTGGGAACACTTGAAGGATCTGCCCTTTCCCAACAGGCTGCAGCCCTGGTTTTCCAGGCTGTTCAGCCACACAAAAGCAGATCCTAGCCTAATGAGATAAAAGGCACCACCATCCACCTTTGCTTAGCCTCCACAGGGTCCAGGATTGTTTTACACGTCCACATAGGGTACTGCTCCAGGACAAACTGACCACAGTAGATCTGCATGTCCTGCACTCAAGGGAAATCCGAGGTATATGCAGGAGCAAGGCATCAGCAAGGACCACAACCTGGACTCCAGCTGCAGCTTCAAAACCAGCCCCAGCCTTATTAAGGCAAGCAGCAGCTTCTGGGATTGGGCTCCAACAAAGAAACAATGTTAGACAGAAGTGCCAAGTCCATCCTTCACCCTGCACAGAGATGCTGCTATTTTAAGTTGCAGAGTCACAGCACCCGCCTCATCTTTGGCAGAGCTATTAACTGTTTCAAACAAGCAGCACACAGCCCACCAGCAGCAGGGGAACACTGAATGAGGCTGCTTTTAATCATGTGGCCCCATCTCCAGCCATCCCACAGCATGGAAGACTCCAGAGAAACAATAAGTAAGTCTGCACAGCAGCAGCTCTTGCCTTCCCTCCAGCACCTCAGTGCCAGCCTGCCCAGAGCAGTGACACTGCCTGGTACCTGCAAGGACCAGAGCTTCTCAACCAAAACATCCATTTCTGCATCACCACCCCCCACAGTGGCTCCAGAAGGAGTGAACTGTCTCCACAGTATCCAGAGGACATTCCTTTCCATGACAGCCTGGGGCATTTTTTGGGCTAGGACAAATGCACTAGATCCCTGGATCATGTCCCACTGCTCTTCCTTTTTTGGGAAGAGCAAATTTTGCATTCTTCTGTACTTTGTCTACATATAAGCTTTGCAAGGGCACAACAGGCAAGAGTAAGCTCAGACTCTTGGGTCAAAAAAAAAAAAAAAAAAAAAAAAAAAAAAGCCCAAAGCTCACACTTTTATCTTTTTTTCTGAAAAACTTGTGACTCAAAATCTGTACAGGTTTTCTGGATCAGGCCAAAAGCTTATCTGCTACTACTTTTCCCTCAGTACTCTTCCAGAACTTTTCAAGCATTATTTTTTTGGAGAAAGAACACAGACTAGACCAGAACAGATCAGGATGCTGTCATTTTCTGGACAGAAGTTGTTCTTTAGAAGCAGCTGTAGCACATACAACACTTTGCAAGGTTGTTTGCTTGGTTTTGTTGTTTTTTTTAATTATTTAGGTCTTGGGTGCTGCAAGACATTTTCCCCTTTAGAAATACCACAAGCTCATAAGTAATTGGCTGCACAGAGCTGAGCTTCTTCCTTTCTCTGATTTCATCTGGTTTTGTTCCAGCTTGAACTAAAGTTATCTTCAGTGGTATGAATTTTTTTTGCAAAAAAAATATTCTACATCTATTTTATTTACTTTAGAAGAAGTATCTGCAAACCTACACAAGTATGCGTAAAAGGTGGTTCCTTTCACAAACAATGTTTTGGTGCACTTTCGTCTGAATAGGCAGAGTTCTTCAAGACTACAGGGGAAACACCAACAGATACCAGCATGAGGGGAAAGCTTTAGCATTTCAGTGAAGTATCCATTTGAGATACAAAAAAAAAGTGTATATAAAGTCCTTGGCAACTTATTGTTGGTATCCTTCCATGAGCAGAGGGGTTTGACGAGATGACCTCCAGGCTTTTAACATCAAACAAATCACAAACCTGCTGTGATTGTGTGAAATGGAACAAGTTCAGATTTGATTCCCATGTAAAGCCAGTTTAGAAATTTATCATCTAACACATCCTTCCCATCCCCACAGATGCTATTGAAAAAAACAGATGTTGTGAAAGCAGGACTCATCCAGCTGGAACAGGTAGCTCCAGACTGCTGGAAGAATCCTTGGTATTTTCAGTCAGGAAGCATGAAGTTATGCAACTCTTTGAAAATTTGCATTTAATTTATAGATTAAACAACTCTAAACACCTCAAGTGTCTGATAGATGAGTTTTGAAGACAATTACTCAATTTGAGAAAGCTCGAGTTGACTTTTCACACTGAGGCCTGGCCTCTGAGGACTGAAGAAGGGGAGATTGTTTTCTGCCCAGCTGTGTTCATACAGCACAGCCGTAATGGAGTCAAGCCAGTCTGTGACCAGTAACCTCGAGCATAATCCTGGGTTATGTACATTGAGTTTGAAGTAAGGGAGTCAAAAAATGCTAGGAATGTATCCAGTTATTTTGGCAACTCCAGTCCTTCCAGTCTGTGCTTCTACTGGGAGTAGAGTGGGAAGCAGTCACCCAAATAAATGAGAGCCATTAACACAAAAAGGTTTCACGATGGAGACAGTATTTTTAGCTTTCATGATTTGTGCTTACCCTGGTGATCTGAATGTTGTTCAGTTGTTGCTGCCAGTGGAGAATACTCTCCATCCTGTGCACCCACATGTTGATGTTTCCAACCAGGACAGACTTGCCGACCCGTTGAACTAACGTGCAGAGGGATGTGTAGAGGGTCTGCAGCAATTCCCGTATTAGCCTGATGTTCTGCTGATCTTCAAGGACTTTGAAAGAACAGGAAAGGTTAAAAATGGGAATTGTCAAAATCCTTCTCTGAATCTACATGCTTCTCAGGCAAGTCAAGTTACTTGCTTTAATTTCACAGGCCAAGAGAGCCAGCCTGTGCTTTTCTTTTTAGAGGAAAGCACTTAAACATTAGCCAGTCACAGCAGGTTAGACAGCAGATGGAAAGAGAGCCTCCCAGGATAAGCAGATGAGATCTGCAGCACTTCCCATTTCCAGCCACTGGCAACCAGCCAGTTTTCCCCTCTGATACCATGCAAGAAGTTATCTATGTGCACCTCTTCCTCATCTACCCCAGCTAATGTGCATTTCTCATTATGTCTGCTGTCAATGCCCAGGCTTCAGGGACAGCTAAATATCCATGAAGGAAGTGCCACATCTCAACCACAATTCATTCCCCTGAACAGGTGAAGACACCCCTCCAGAGCAGTGGGAGCAGCAGGTACAGCACACTGCCAACAAGGCGGCAGCAGAGACCGCAGATATGCCTGGCTCAGGGCAGGAGCAGTCACATCTTCTGCAGTCAGAAATAGAACTCAGTAGGATGCAGAAGGGGTGGTAGTGAGGAAAGCTGGCAAAGGAGAAGTCACCTCTCAGATACCTACCAGACTACAGACACTTCTTCCCTTCCCCCCAGGTCCTTCATTGAGGGAAAAGAAAACAGAACTGCACTACAGAAATAAGCAGTGGTGCCCCTCCTCACCCATTTTGCATTGCCTGATTATTCTCAAGGATGTGGTTCACCAAAGTTCATCAGATTAAATCAGACTCCCCCTCACCGTTTCCGTTTCTTACCTTTCTGAACCACTTTTTCCAAAATGTTCATGTAGTTTTTCTGGGCAATGCCACTCAGTGACGTCAGCTGAGACTTTGCTATCAGCTCCAACAGCTGTGGGTAAAAATAGAAGTTACAAGCCTTAGAGCACAGAGATACCTTTCTAATCTTAACTCCTAGTCACATGACACAGCAAAACAGTCCAGAGACTTGTTTGCTGCTTGAAAATAAAAAGGAGACAGAACAACAGAGCAAAGTAATGCAAAGGGGAAGGAGAGCAGAGGCAAAATAATTAAACTCACATCAAAAAAGGTAGGGGGAAAGAAAGGTGTTTTAACTATCTTCAGTGTGGGGGGAGAGGGAACTTGATTTCATGGTTCAGAGATGCAGAGAAACCACAGTGGTGCTTGGACTGACAGTCACTATTCACACCAAGGGAATAGAGAACGTCACCATCTTTCACTGGGGCATAAACAAGAGTGTCATAAGGGAACACGAGCAAATGCCTGTTTGGATAGGGATATTATTGACAGATCATTAATGAGAATCAGACTCCACAATTTACGTCAACTCCTGGGTTGCATGGGTTTTGTCAGAGCACTGTCACCACAACAGAAAGGTTAACTACTGTAGCAAGAACAAAAATTCTCCCCACAACAAACCCCTTCTCTCCCAAAGTTTCCTCCCCTGTTCAGCTCCAACAACCACAATAGCAAACCACCTCCCCCTGTCTGCCCTGTTTACCTGTCAACCTCCCCTAATGAAAATCTTGCTTTTACTTTCAATTAGAATTTACTTCACATCACTAATCTCCTGACTCTTGAGCAAGCTAAACAGTGAATTTGGGCTGCAGTTGTTAAAGGAAGCACTTCCCACAGGGAAGGATGCTTTCTCTTCCCCACCTCCGTGCCACAAGAAAAGCTGGGGAAATTTCCTATGGAACATGCTCTGCAGAATATGTGGCCTGTGATCTTACAAGCCTTTCTCCCTTCCCCCAACATTATATAAATGCACAGACTGCCCACGTGTCAGTCCATTTGTTTTGGATGTACGTAGCCTTCTGTTTTAATTTAGAAAGGAAAGGAAAAACCTTTTATGTTACAAATCAATCAACACATTGCCGCATGACCAGCTTATTAATCCTTTATCATCTGCAGCTCCAGTATCCCATTGCTGACACCACAGAGAGTCCAGAGAAGGTACAACTACTTGTGTCAAGTAATTAAGATGGCTTTTGACTACACTTGATAAGTCATGAGCTGAACTGTTTGCCCCGCTGTAGGAATGACAGTAATGTATCCAAAAAGTCACCGGCAGCTTGCCATGAAGCAGGAGCTGAGGGGAGGTATTACAGCAGCCTGCTCTGCTCATCTGGGGCAGCAGCATGTGACTGCCACTTCAGAGCACTGAAGTCGCCTCAAGTGACCAATATCTTCTTCTGTTTAATATCCAGGCCAACACCACCATCAGATGGCTTTGAGTTTACATTCTATTACTATCTTGCACCTCACATGACCAAAAAAAAAAAAAAACAACAAGATGAAAAAAAGACCTATACTAACTCCTGTCAAGGGCAGGCTGCTTGTTTTCTTGGCTTGTTTGGAGGAAACAGGAGATGTGGGAGAGTTAGGTAATAGTTGGTACTCAAGCATCAGTGGATTTTCTGGCTGTATCAGCTAAATGAGACCACAACAACTAAATACTCCTAAAAACAAGGCAGCTTGCAAAATATTTGAAAAGCTTATAAAAGGCCTTTTCTTAATTTTTTTGAAATATTGGATAAATAAGTAGGAAAAAAACCCAATCAATGTCCCAGAGTAGTCTGTAATACTCTGTTACCTTTCAGACATTTGATTATAGTGATCAATTTGCCAGACTCCATCTGTACACTGGCCACACATGCACCCAGATCAGCTTGTCTGTGCACTGTTGTGGAACTGGCACAGAGACAGCTTTATCCAGGCCAGGTGTTAGCAATATTGTGCCCATTACTAAAAACACCAAAATACATGCAGTAATAAGCATCATATAATGTAATACCAGAGGAGTTGGATACCAGGACTGTTCTTTTAGAAGAATAAAGATAAAATTCTCAGTTCCTTGAAGAACACTAAATTGGTACAAAATTAGTTTAGCTGAAGGAACAGATTCAAATTTGCCCTGTGTTTATCAAGGTTCAATTTATGTTCAGTGAACCAGCTCAGATATCATGTGTCACCTCCCTTCTCCTACAGCAATAAACACAGGATGAAATTCCATATGAAAACTATGTTGTGAATACTTCTAGGGCTACTCTGCTCCCCAGGGACCGCTGACTGAAGCGACTAGCTAGTCCTCCAAATTACAAGATTTTATTCTTCTGTGCCCTTCTCATATAATACACAAAAATCAGGTAAGCAGTACAGTTCATCTTTGCCCCACATGCTCCAGTGCATTGAGGGTCTTTTAGTGTTGGCACAGGCCACAAGTATGGTCTCAGTTAATAGATTGCCAAATTGGGGTCTACAGCAGTATAAAAAATAAATAAAAAAATAAAGCAATGTCACTTGCATAATACAGACTGAAGCAGACCGATGAATTCAGATTAATGCTGAGTAGGGTAAAAAGACTGGAGAGCTGCAAGCTTGTATTATGATGTGGCTGCATTAAGTCCAGCCCACGCTCAACTGAAAGGGACAGATGGTAGGAGAGAGTGCACAGGGAAAGGTTAAGAGCAATTTTAAAAGGTCTGCTTTTCAAATACACTAAGTAATTGCATTCCAGCCGATTTTAACTGGAGCTGGGAAGTCAAACACCTCTGGAAAACAGGGCATTAGATCCAAATTCACTCTTCCAGCTCCTCAGAAGTTGAGGAGAGTGACCTGGTAGCTCCACTCAAAAAAAAACAAAAAAAAACTTCTCTATTTCATTTGCTATCAGAGGTATGCCAGAACTATAGAGAAAAGAAATGCAGTGAGCTATCCCAGAGCCTCTGCAAAGCTGCAGGAGGCAGCATCTTCTACAGCAGGGCAGTAACCTGCTTACTTCCCCTGAGTGTGGTGGGGCTCCTGCCACCCCTCCAGAGCAGGCAGCACAACAAAGTCGCTGAGCTTCAGCAGCTGAGCAGATCCTTCTCCTCCCATAAGCACAAGATAAAAAATAGCAAACAAAACAGTGCCATGTGGCAAGGAAGTAGGGCCCCTGTCTCAGGGCCATGAAAGCACTGCTGTGCACCCATGACTACTGTGTGCAGCATTGCTTAGACCCGCTACAGCCAGATGGCACTTTGGCCACAGTCTTGATTCAACCCAGGGGTGTGCAAGCAATCCATACCCCAAATAACCACTGCTGGGGCTTACAGCACATAGAGCCAAAAAATCCTCAGCAGTCCTGCTGTGCTGAGCAGGAGAGTACAACCTTGACTCAAAAAGGGAAATGCTCTGGAGTGATTAAAATCACAAATCTTAAACGACTGAAGTGTAAATTCCCCACTGAATACCTCAAAAGACAGCTGACTGCACTGTGTGGGGATCAGTAAAGTCCTGATGATTGGGCATGTGACTCATCACATCTGGACTACTTAGGAAAAATGAAAAATTCCTCCTCCAGCCCCACCTTGCTCTCACAGCCCTTCACTTTCAGTGGCTGAAATAGCACACTGGCAGTCAGCTGACAGGTGGAGCAAGAGCAAGGCAAGTTACAATGATTTACAGTGCAGGTGCTGACAGATCTCCATAAGACAGCATCCAGCTGATATTCTTTCAGGACATCATAAATCCAAGACTCCTGGAGCTAACCTCTATTAAAACTTACAAAGCAAATTTAAAAGACTACTATAAAAGGCTGCACACAACCTAGATCATGTTATTTTAGAAGAGTTGTGCCCAGGCAGCTTAACCTGACCTAAGCTTTTATGATCAGAAACATCACCTTCCCTAAAGACTACACAACCATCACATGAGAAATCTCTTTCTGAAGAAGCAGCCTGCAAAACCTGCCATCTGAACACAGTGATCCTGAAGGAAAACCAGCTTCTGGGCTGCAGGCACCTTTGTCTCTGCTCCTATTAATTATGCTTACAGAATGCTTCCAGTCTTTTCATTAAATCTCTAAGAACAGAGAAACCAGGGTTGCTTCAGACCAAGAACAGTTTGGGTCCTCTGGGTCAATCACACACTTCCTTATCAGCCCTGAAAAGGGAACACTGATTGTTCTGTAACATGTAAGCAGATGCACTAATTTCAAGGATCAGCAAAGACCAAGTCATGGCACCAATACCTATAACTTGGCTCTTCCAGAGCTGTACCAGCAGACCATCAAGGTAAGTCTTATGTTAGAGGGAAATTTCTTCTGCTTCATTTACATGGACTCACTGGCTCCAGCTGAAGGTATTTGCCCATGAAAAATACCTGCTAAGCTTCCTGCAGCTCATATCTCCACCCCACTTGAAGGCAGTGCTCATTTTATCTGTGCACCATTAGAAAGTCCAATAACTTAGTTTGGGTGTATCTAATGCAGAAACTTCTGTGACAAGAAAACAAGCACCAAAGACACTTATGCACTGTTCACTTAAGTTCAGAGAAATCCAGAAAGGTAAGTTCATGTTAAGCCTGAAAGCCCATTTTGCTACCAGCAAGTGATGCAGCTTATGTCTCTATAGGGCAAGCCTGGGTGTAAGCCAGCAGAACCTCAAACCTGAAGCCGTTTCTCTCCTTTCTCCCCCTACAGACATCATATTCTTTCCCAGCCTCCAATTGTAAACTCCCCTCCTTGAAAAGCATTTGCTTGATGAATTAGGTAGCATACATCAATATCAGATAACCTGAGCAAGGAAGGGAACTATAGAGAAAGAGGAGAAAGATAGGGAAAAATGTTTTGCCTGCCAATATTCAAGGCCTTTTCCATGTGAGAGATGGCCCATCTGTATGCTCTAAGAGGTCTGAGACTTGCAAAATGTGATAAACATGATCCACATCTAGGCAGAGCTTTTAATGAGTAAATCTGGCATATAAGGCATTTTATGAACTAGTATTCACTGGAGACTTGGGTGATACAAGCCTTCCATTTCAAGAAGTCAATTTTACAATTTGATCCATGGTACCAGGTTTTAAAATTGTCGTTAAACTGCCAAACCACAAGTCAACCTCAATTAGAAAACTTAATACTTCTCAATAGTATATTGTATCTGTAAAACTACTGGGGGAAAGCTACTCTTAAAAGCTCAGGAGAGATAATTTGTAGAAACAAGGACACATGTCAGCTTCCATAGCCTTCAAAACTGTTGTTTTTGATAAAAGCATCCCCGATGTGCTGTGTATGAAATACTCACAAGAAAGAGAAAAGGTCAGCTTCCTTACCAGATCACTCTGACTTCACTGAAATTTAAGTTTGTTCATGAAAAATTTTAGTGAGACTTCTGTTCAACCATTGCACTCCCATACAAGACATCTAGGACATTGGGTCAAGCAGCAGAAGCCCATCATGTGGCACAGCATGACCTGAGGCCATGCTTAGCAGAGGTCTTTGGAGTTCTTCACTGTCATAAGAAAGTCTGCCAAATGGATATCTGCAGCACTAAAGAAATTTTATTTTACATGCCTTCTTTATATTTGACTAAAGATTTATGGCCTTGGCATGAACTGTTCCTTCTCAGTAATCCCTCTGAAGATGACATGGCTGTGTGTGTATATATATATCTCTCTCCAATATCAGGTTGGCTACCTCAACACTGGTGATCACACAAGCAGGAAAACAAGTTGTCCCAAGATTAGCAGAGCTAAGACAGGCCGAGTTACATGACCTGGATGCTGCTTTGCCTCCCACAGAATCCCCACTCCCTGCCACCACTCCAGTAGTGGCACATCCAAGTGATTGCCCTTCCTACACAGCCAGAGGCTCATCACCCCCAATGCCTGAACCCTTCCCAGGGTGACAGAGGTTTCCACAGGTGACTAGTTACCTAGACAAACTAGATGAATAAGTTAAGGTGAACCTGCTCAGATGTCTTCTTTAGACACTTTTCAAGACACTTGACCCAAAGGGAAAGCAATACCACTGCTGTTTGCTCCAGAACCTAACACCTGAATAGCTGTTGCCTCAGTGATCAGCTGCTCACAAGACATGAAAAGGAGCTATTCATAAACAGCCTCAAGTAAATAACTTTTTTTAAAACCTTATTGAATTCCAAATCTTGGTAAGAATTCTAAAATTCAAGATCAATTTGCAGATCACATGCAGGTAAACATACAAGTATCCACAACCCTCAGGACAGTAGGTCCCCCAACCATTGGTGGCCACCTCCTTGGCCACCCCAAGCCAAAAGGGAAGCCCTGACCTATTGTGTAAAGCCAGAGCTGATGGGAAACTTGAAGCTGATGACTTCTTTATTAACTAGTGTTGTCAGGACTAAACAAGTGTTTCACCCACTGAAACCACTGCCAGTCACAATGGATTAAGAGCAACTGTGATCCTTAACAGAGAAGTTAAGATCAGTGCCACCAAGATGTTCAGCCCATCCTCTCATTCCCAAAATGCTCAGCTCCTCTTAGTCTCTCCTTTATCGCCTCAATGACAAAGTCCACAGACCTCAGACTGGAGCTTTCAGAGCAAAGAGGTCTCCACTGCCCTGTGGCATCTTCAGAGACCCCATGTTCTTTTTCAGAAGCTGAACTGAAAACTCAGGAGTTAGAAGCCAGGCTTTCTGGGTTTCAAAAGTAAATTACACAATTGAAAAGTAGTAGGAATGCTAGGTTAAGGACAGCTCATCTTCCATGTTATAATTGTTTTCCTTCCTTTCCATTTTAGTAAACTAAAGACAAGATTTGGGCATCTATCCACACACAAAACTTCCATGAATTACTTCATGCAGAAAAGCTTAACACTCCCACTTGCATGCTCAGACATCTCTTCGCCAGTGCTTCCCATTATCCAACTGGTGCTCAGTTCAGAGCCTCCATCACCATCCCATCAAAATAAACCCTGGACTTTGACTCACCCTCACAACGTAGTTGAATCGCCTGGAATCCAGGATAGCACTGGAGAAGTCAAGTCGGTTGAAGGCTTCTCCCAAGGTGCAGTAACCATGGCGCTGAAAAGAAAAAACTCTCTGGGTCATGTTTTGGCAGACTTGAGTCCAGACAGCTCCAGGCAGAGCAACTTGATTTAGCAAGCTGATGGGTACAAACCATGGGAGCAAGCTCATAGCCAGTGCAGGCAGGCCTGGCTCCTGCTGAGCTCCACTTACTGACATCAAGAGTGGGCATGGCCAAATGCAGATTATGGTAGTTTCCCAAGGGAGACCCATGCTCTGCTCATGGCCCATGAATTTACGTGTGAGAATGAGCCACACATTCCTAGGGTTCAATATATAGTGTGAGTCCAGAGCAGTCTTGTACAGCCACTTCTCTTCATGAGTGCAAGCAAGCCCTTGTGATAAATTCCAATGATTTTCCATGTTAGGACTGTACTGGGTGAAAGCCAAGAACAGTATTATGGCTTGGCCTGCAAATGGCTGTTTTTTTTAAATGAGGGAAGCAAACAAGTAATATTTTAAACACATGTACAAAGCCTTGTACATCAAGCGCTGGATCCCTGATGGGGCTTAAAATCATTACTGAAATTCCAACCACAAGCCAGATCTTCCACTTATCTCTTAAGAGCTTCTGCTGATTTAAATCAGCAAAGGATCTTCTACTGCTTGTAAAAATCAGTAGAAAAGAGGACAACCTACAGAGGCACTCACCTCTTTTGTGCTTCCCTTGTGAACATAGATCCACTTCTCCTGGTGGAAATCTGTTTGAACAAAGACATTTCACTCAGTTAATCTTCCACCTCAGAGGGCTGTATCTCTGTTCTGCTCATAACATTCACTGTCTTTTAGTATAAATTATTTTGTCTACACCACCACACTTGAAAACAAATCTAGCATCTTGCTGAGCTTCTTTGTTTCTATACAGCTTCATTTGAGACTGTAGCCCTAAGCCTCAGAAGAGGCTTCTGTTTCATTGACACAGCTCAAGACTTGTAAATGTTTAATCTATTAGCCATAGGTATACCATAGCACCTCCTCTTCTTTTGTCCCAGACAGTAAGCGTGGCTGACAGCCAGGTTTTGTTGTTATTGATTTTATTAACTATTTATTACCCTGGTTACAGGCTTGGGATTGTATGTCAAATTTGAAGTTGAGCAAAAATGTCATGAGACACCAGGCATGTAAGAGAGCATTTAGCAGTGAGGTCAGGCTCAGAGGAGCATGCTTATGCTTGCAGCTAACTTGCTAAAAAAGAAAAAGCTATGTGGGACCAAAATTTTCCTATTTCTAATTGCCCCTCCCTTCCATCAGAATGGGAGTTGTCTCAGCCATTCCCCAAAATAAACTTCCCAATACCCAACACACACTGCTAACTCTGTTTTGCAGAAGAGCCTGTACTATAAGCAGTTCTGCCACTCAGTCCTTCTCTCACTCCATTTTCACATGGGCTTTTGACCCTACTTCCACCACACACTGGCAATTTAACTGTTAGCATAAAATAAATTCTCCTCCCCACCCTGCTGGATTCCTTTCCATAAAGAAAATATTGAGCTCCTAGAGCAACCTGTAAATTAATGAGCTGAAGCTATGGAATGTACGCCTGCCTGGTACTGCAAGTCCAAGGATACCCAGTTTCATTTACAGGCATGCTGACCCTGCATCAAGCCCCTTTTAATGACAGGTCACAGCAGAATCCAGCCAAAAACTGTCATGGTAACATTTGTTTGTTCAGAGATCTGAATACACTGAGGGGCCAACTTTTGGCAACAGCTTCGAAAATCCTGGGGGATGCACAATGAGTTAACAGCAGTGTGGGAATTGTAACTCGTTTCGTCTGGGTATGTTTACATTTGTAGCCTTCACATGGAACTCCAGTACCTACATTGCAATCAGCCCAATGCAGACCTCACTGTCCCCGCAGGCTCCCCTGGGCCCTCCCCCAGGGCCCCATCTGAGACCCTGGCTGCTCACTGCACGCACAGAAAGATTTCAAGCCTTCTATTGTTTTGAGTGAGCTGAAATCTTATTTCATTTTTCATGCACTCCGAACACAGAGATAGGATCAAAGCTTATATTCAGGCTTGTAGCCTCCAGTAACGTAGATTAGTGCTCAACATACATATGGAAGGAAGAATAAATTTAGCCTGTTGTGCACAAGGAAGTCTACGGGGGAAAATACTGGAACTGGTTCATTTGAATGTACCATAGGAAAAAATTACCCTCCTGACAAACAAATGACAAAAATCTGAACACAACAAGCACAACTCCTCAGAACAGGGATTACTAACGGGCATAAATCTTCATGTTAAACTGTATCCAAGTTCTCTACTTAGGTCAAAACAGGCACAAAGCCCTTCAAGACTCTAGAAGGCTCTTCATGCACTGTGCAAAAAACATAGATATTAAGCATTTTCCATTCTTCTGCAGCAACTTTTATTTAAAAAGTAAAAAAAAATTTCTTACATTGAGTCTTGGCTTTGTTATTTAGCAGATCTTTTTTTCTCTTCTTGGCAGCAACATCATAGTTTATGCTGTTGAAGAGATTCTCTTTGTTGTGATCATCCTTTTTACAAAAGCTGTGAATGACACAAAACAAGGATTCTGTTTATTTCTGCATTCTGTTGAACACTCTTTCCTGTAAGGAGAAAAAATTCATAGGTTTTTATTGTGGCCTCCAAAGCTGCTTCCTTGCAGGCTGCCCCTAGTCTGCACACAGTAATGATATTTTTAAAGGAACCTCTGGTGCCTCAATTCTGGGCTAGCCAAGATACCCATGACAGGAACAGATAACACAGATTACACAGTTAGTGCTGGGACACTGCTGACCAATGTTCTTTTCCACTCTTTAACCTATTTCTATCCTTAATTAACACCATATCCTCCTCGCATAGGTAGTGGATTGCTCTGAGTCAGACTGCTACAGAAGGACATTTAGACATCCCTGAAGACATATATGTCTCAAAATATTTATTAACAAAAATGAGTTCCCACAAAATATTATTTCAAGTTTACTGGAAAAGCTTAGCTGAGGTTCAGACTTATGTGACGGTTTTTCAGACCCTGCATAGTAGTAACTACACAAGTTAAGTCAGGATCTCTTGTCCAAGACTACCCATTGCCTGTTTCTGTTGGAGCTCTGCTGTAACTGTATTATTAGTGAAGGGAGCTATAACCCCTTATAATGAAAGGCTAGCTATAAAGAGGCTGTGCATCAACATACTCACATTCTGCAGACCTGCAAATCAGTAGATCCAAGCCACAAGTCGAAACTGAGAAGCCCCTGGGCAGCCACAGCACGGCTGCAAAGATGCCTGGGGGTGGCAGGGAAGGGCAGCAGCACCAGCAGCTCTGAGCAGAGGCCCAGCACACAGCCTGCTGCCCAGAGCTGCAGGGTGCCTCACAGGTGCCAGGGAGAAGACAGGCCATGCATCCAGGAGAACAAAACAGAGCTGTCCCCACGGCAAGGGATGAAGCATGGCTATCTGCAGGCCTAAACTCAAAGAAGAGTCCCAGGCATCTCACTGCACCTCTCAGCTGCTGTGGCTCAGACAGCTTTGGAGACCTGACAGGTGCCAAAACATGCTACTGCTGCTTGCAGCCCTGGGCAAGCTTCCTCTGAGACAGTCATGAGGACCCTTACACAGCCAGGAGGCTTCCTGTACAGGCCATGTGTTTACACTGCTCAGCCTCAAACAAAACCCAAACATGAGCACCACACCAAACACACCTCTCACAGCTATTCAGCACAGTCTCCTGCAAAGGAATGAAACCTGTGGGACAAGACTTCTTGTTTCCCCTGTTCACTGGCTGTCTGCATGGCCACACCACCAGCATATACAAAAGTCAAATAACCGAGTCAGCGTTTCAGCCCAAGGAGGAACCCAGATTCCCTCTGCCATGATCTAGATGGGTGTTCTGGTTCGGCACCTGCACATGGCCCCAGAGGTGGAAGAAATCTCTCAATTTCAGAACACCATGACCCTCAGCTCCCCCCTCTTATGCCACATCCCCCTTGCAGGGCATCCGAGCTGTGGAGAGGGCACCACTGCTGTGGGTTCCACCACAATACTGCAGAAGGGGAAGAGCAGCAGCATTGAAGGTGAACAATATTCACAGAAACAACAATTTGGGGAACCAGACACTTCTGCCAGCTGCAGCTTGCTCAGAACCACCTAAACCTGAGAGCAGAACATCTCAGCTGCTCATGTATCCCATCCATGCTGCTTCCTGCTGGGAGGACCAAAACCTAAGAACAGAATACGGCAGCAAGGAAGAAGCTGTTTTGGAATATCCAAGTTTGTGTTTTATCATGGTCGCACAAAATCAACAGGGGGTCAGGTTAACACACCCCATGCAGTGGCAGAATCTGAGTCCAAGAGCACAAGATGGATCTGCTTTAAATCTCACATGTCAACAGCACACCCTTGCCTGTTGACTTCCTACTGAATGACTCTGTAATCTGAAACCACCATAACAGCAGCAGTGGACAAATCCAGCATGGGAGGCAGATTATTTCCCTGTTTATGTACTGCCAGGTTTCCACACACTTCTCCAGGGCATCTTGACAGGTTCAACAGTTGGGCACCTGGACCTTGCACTGCAAGGACCTCAGACCAGGGTCAATATGTCACCTCCTCGCTTTTAAATGGTAAAAGTGATGTATAAACCCATGCTAAACTCAGTATTCCCAACACACTACCGCCAGCCAGACATTTTTCTACCTATTTTCAAGTTACAAACTTAAACTTGATTTTTATTTACAGCTTACATTAAAGAGAGCATGAGATACCTGCTACATAAGCCTCCTTGCACAATAACATCATCGGTGGCTCACAGCAAATCCCTTCTTACTCCAAGTCCCTTTGTTATGGGTATTCCTGACCCATCCCTAAGCCTGGTGGCAGCAACCCCAACCCTGGCGGCACACTGCTGAGGAGAAGATGCAGCTCTGTGAGAAAAGTTTGGCTTTGACAGGAGCGATCTAGCTCCTACGACACCCACGCGTTGCAAAGCTTCCTGCCCGCACCATCTTGGGGGTTTGTTGATGTTTTGCAGCCAGATTAGTCAAGCAGCACGTAAGGTACATTACTCATGACCCGGGGAGGATTTATGGCTTCAGACACATCATCTTTCCCAGCCCGAGACCGGGAAGCCCCAAGCAAGGTTGTATTTGGAAGGGGAGGGTGGGCAGCCACCTCCAGGGTTCCCAGGAGACGCCTGGCGATGCTCCCCGGGGGCACAGACCTCTGGCGGTGGGGCAGGTGAATGTTTCATCTTTTCCTCGATTTTTCGCCACACTCCACAGCCGTAAGGACGGTCTGGCCGCCTGGGCATGAACAGCCTCCATCGGGATGTGGGGAGCCTGCCGAGGGCTGAGTGAACCCCGCTCAGAGCTTCCTTTAGACCCGGAGGAGCCGCCAAGCCCTTCTGCCGGCAGGGCTGGAGTCACCCAGACAACGACGCCGCTCCGCCGACACCGGAGCGTCCCGGCAGCCGGTCCGGGGCGAGGGGCCCCGTCCGCTCCCACAGCCCCCCCCGCCCCAGCATCGCGCCCCCTGGCGGCCACCGCCCGGCAGCGGGGCCGGACCGCGCCGCCGCCGGTACCTGCTGATGTCGCCCACGAAGCCGCCGCTCTTCTCGTCCAGGAAGCGCGTCCAGCCGTCGGCCGTCTTCACCCAGCTCTGCCCAGGGGAGCGCCAGTCCTGCCCCAGGAACGGCATGGCGACGGCACGGAGCGGGACCAACACCGGGAGGGACGGCGGCGACGGGAGCGGTGCAGGACAGACCAGGGCAGTACCCGGAACGACGCGGCGCAGATCAGGGCAGCACCCGGAGCGGAGCGGTGCAGATCGGAGCAGTACCCGTAGCGGTGGCGGGAGCGATGCGGTGGCTGCGGGCGCGCTCCGCGCTATTTATGTGGCGGCGGAGGGCGCGTGTTGCCGGAAGCGCGGCCCGGCCCCGCCCCCCTGCACGTGGCCGTGTTTATCGGGGCAGGCCCCGCCCGCTGGGCTGAGGGGGCGTGGCCAGTGGCCCTGCGCGTGCCCGGCTGAGCGCGCGGCCGAGCCCCGCGCATGCGTGGCAGCTCCGCGCTGTCAGCGTTGTGTGTAGCGGGCGTCGAGTGCAGAATACAGACAAACGTAAAAATAACGTGTTGTGTGTATCTCAGTGCCAAACTCGGCCCCCATATTCGAGTTATTGGTACAAAATAGAAATATTTATGCGGGCATGTTTTCATAGGCTTATAGATTTGCTTTAGGTATTTACGTGTTTCAATATTGTACTATATAGTAGTATATATTAGTGTAATATGTAACATGTATTGCAAAGTTGTCTTTATAGAAACGTACCGAATCGAAATCCTGCCCTGCCAAGGGGCTTAAGCCAGGCAGATCTATGTCACTGAAAATACCATCATCCTTTTAATGAGGATCACTCGGCAGCTCTGCAGCACAGTTCAGTTCGATCTGCAGCAGCAGATGAAAAGAGAAAGAAGTACTAGGGAAGGCAGAAACAGGATTTCTCCTCTCTCTTTTAAGAGCCCTCAATTTAGAACCTTGTGAAAACAAACAGAATAAATATGTTACATATTGGCTCTATAGAGAGAACACTACATAAAAAAATATATTATGGAATGCTTTCTAAAGGTATTCTGTATATGTATTTATATTATACTTGTAATGGTTCATGTATATGTAACATTTTATGTATCTGTTTTATATATTCATGTGTACTATAGTTTTACATTCAGTGCTATTTATTTTCATATTTTATAGATAAATATGTATGATTGAAAGCTATATAACTATATATAAAACAGTATTATATATGGAATATACATAAAACAGTATTATATATGAAATATACATGCTGTTTACACATTATTTATTTGATGCATGTACCAGCAGGTTTTAGTAAAACTGTTATTTATTCAATGTTAGAAACACAGGGTTTTTTGCATCCAAGCCTAGGCTGAGGGGGTGCCTTCCCAGCTAAGAATGTGCTATGGCACATTCCTTAAATATAAGACATTTTGTATTAGGATTATGACATATTTGCCCTGTGCTATGGTATATGTATCTCAGTATATATGTTTTGTTTTTGCCAAGTCAGTGTTACTTGAGGACACTGTGTGTGGGGTGTTCTGGGTGTCTGGGAGCAGTTCCAGTGCCCTGGGAAGGGGTGTGTGGCTGTCAGGACATGGCCTGGCCTGTGCTTGGGGCTGAGGGCTGCAGGGATGTGGCAGTGGGACTGGAGGATAAGCTGTCCTAATCCCGTCGTGCTGCAGCCGTTCCGTCTGTGCTGCCATCACCGCGGGGCCTCTGCAGCATCTGCTGCTCGCAAGTGACACTGTTATGTATTTACCCTCAAAAAAACCGAGAAAAACCCCAATAAAAACAAGCTCTGGAGGTGTGGGGGAGGCTGCAGATGCAGTGCTGCTGGGGCTGAGGGCAGTGAGTGGGAGCTCTGCAGGCAGGAGAGTTCCCTGGGGCATCTGCTGATGCTGGAAGCTTCACCCCAGGAGTGTTGGCTGCCACGGCCACCCCATCTCCCCATCTTGCTGTGCCTCACCTGTGTGGGTGTTAAAGAGGACCAGTGGGAGGAAGAGTGAAAACCCAGCAGCTAAAAGCAGCCATATCTGAAGGGTTCTTGCAGCCCTATGGCACAGAGAGTGTTTGAGAGCCGTGGTGAGCCACAGTGCACATGGAAGTTAAAATCTGGATATGAGAGCCCTGGGGCTGAGGTCTTTTCCTTCTGCCCAGCTAATCCACCTCTACAGAGAAGTGGTCTCACCTTCTCTTTCAGGCACTGACAGCTATTTCTTGAATGTCAGGAGATACTGTTTGAGCTGCAAGGGTGTTTTGAGCTGCAAAATAATCTTTGGCTTTTTTCTTCTGCGTTTAAATGCCCTAAGCATCTCTCAGCAGCATCACTGCAGGTGACACCACCCTCCACACATCAAGAGACTCCAGAGGGGACCAGATCTGCAACAGTGGAGATGCTCGGGGTGAGACCACCTCTTGTGTCCCTGAATGGCTGTGGTCACCTGTCACATTCTTCCCTGAAGAGTGGATGTGCCGGTTTTGGCTGGGGTAGAGTTAATTTGATTCAGAGTGGCTGGTCTGAGGCTGTGTTCTTGATTTGTGCTGAAGCTAGAGTTGATAATGTAGTGATGTTTTTGTTATTGCTGAGCAGGACTTACACAGAGCTGAGGCCGTTCCTGCTTTTTGTACAGACACACTGGTGAGGAAGTTGTGGGTACATGGGAGGTTGGGGAGGAGACACAGCCAGGACAGATGACCCAAACTGACCAAAGGGATATTCCAAACCATATGCTCATGCTCAGTAAATAAAGTGGGGGGAAGAAGGAGGAAGGGGGAGATGTTTAGAGTGATGGTGCTTGTTTTCCCAAGCAACTGTTTCATGTGATGGAACCACGTTCCTGCTGTCCTGGAGATGGCTGAACACCTGGCTGCCTATTGGAAACAGTGAATTAATTCTTGGTTTTACTTTTGCTTGTGATTGGATTTTGCTTTCCTTCTTGTCTCTATCTCAACCCACAGGTTTTCTGGCTTTTACCCTTCTAATCCTCTCTCTGATCCTGCTGATGGGGGAGTAGTGAGCAGCTCCTGGGGCTTGGTTGCTGGCTGGGGTGAAATCATGACAGTGGGTTCAGCCAGGCAGATCCATGTCACTGTCACTGAAAATACACTTCATTAAAAATGTGGATCACTTGGCAACTCTGAAGTGCAGTTGGGTCTGGTCTGCAGAAGGGGATGAAGAGAGAATTGAGTGCTAGGGAAGGTAGATGCAAGGTTTAATTTCTCCTGTCTCTTTTAAAAGCCATTATGAGCTGTCACAATAACCCACAAACACCATCATCCCTTGTGAGCAGCTAAGGAGCTGCCAGTGGGCTGCAACAGGTGGTTGACTGCTGACTGAAAGCACCGTGTCAGACCATAACCCAGTGAGAGCTGCAGGTTCAACACAACAGGTGGTGTGTTAAAATCTTTTGAGATTTTAACATGCTGTGGCAGGAGAGCTTCCACCACCATACTCCTGTAGTGCAGCCTCAATCGTAAAAAATGTTATGATTGAAGAAACCCAACAAAAAACCCCAGAGTGAAGGTCACTGTGCAGACATACAGGTGCAGAGCCAGGGTTGGCCAAGCTGGACCCACTGCAGGTACTGACATTGTAGAAATGGTGGCACAGTAAGAAATTGGAGATAGTGCTCCAGAGCACAGATCCTTTTCCCACAGGGCAAAAAAGATCCTCTCATGGCTGAGCTGCTCTGCTCCTCCTCCTTTTCCTCCTGCTGGGCACAGTAGCAATGGTCTGCAAGGAGCAGGTCATGGAGGGGTGGCTTTCTTGAGAGCCTCTCCGACAGCATGCTTCTACTCTGATGTGTTCCAGGGCAGCAGCTTCCTTTATTTACATCAGCCTTTACTTAGCTGGTACCACAGGTGCTCCAAGTCTGCCCTCAGTCCTCCACAGACCACTGGTATGCAGGGGTTAACGAGCAGGAACAAATTCATGTGCCTGCCTGGGAAGGTGCAGGGATTTGGAAAGGAACTGGTGGAGGCATCACCCTCAGTTTTGCCCAAAGCTGGTACACCTCTATCTGATCATGGTTCTGTGTTTACAGACCTGGGAATTGGCAGCAGAGGAATTAAAAGCAGCATGTTTAGCTGTGAAAGGAGAACATCCCCGCCCTACACCAGTGTGGTGGCTCATGTGGGTCCCTTGCTGCAGCATGTCCATCACAGCTGGCAACTGTGGCAGCCAACTGCATGAGCTGCCTGCTGTGCATGTGTGTGTGCAGACATCAAGTGTTGCACAGACATCAAAGCAGCCCCTTACATGCCCTCCTGCAGTCCAGCACACAACACAACTCCCCCACCTTGAACCCCTTCAAGGCTGGGCTCCTCTTGCCAAGGAGTGAGTTTTATCTCAGGGCACATGGAATGGCTCAGGATGGCTCTGCCATTGCCCCGTGCTGGTTGGAGCCAGGGGGAATTCATCATGCCACAGTTTCAAAAAAAACCCAAAAGAACCCCAAAACCCTGTTATCTTTGGGACAATCTGGTACAGGGTGACATTGCAAAATCAGGTTGCAGCTGGGATGGACACAGTCCTGGTGCTGCGACTCTGCATGGGGGGGATTGGTGAGGACTTTATTCCAGCAGTATCTCAACTTCAACCTTTATAGACTCATGGTCAGCACATAGAGATACCACAGGTCAAAGCTAACTGTGCAAATCTGGTTACAAAAACGGGCACTGAGGCTGGGGGTGAAGGATGCTGCACTGGACACTGCAGAACAAAGCTGGCAGCATTGGTTTGCAGAAGGGCCATGGGTGATGTCATGAACCATGTGGTAAGTGGACATGGGGAGAATTATTGATGTGGTCATCGCATAATCAATGTATG